CAGAAAGGCAGTCGCCAGTGAATACTACGGCTGTCGGGAAGAAGTATCCTGCAGACTTAACACAAAATAAGAATAGAGAATTTTTCCCATTGTAACAGAGTTATACATATAAAAAAAAACATTTTTCTTTAATGAATTTGTTTTTGGAAATGTTAACGGAAATGGCAAATAGGAATTTTCACACATAGAGCATTTTTTTCGACCGGAACAAATACAATGCAAGTGTTTGTTCCATGCTTAAAATTCATGTATTCTTTCTCTCCCCCTCCCATCCCACCCACATTAAAAACAAAACAAATTTGAAAACAAACATCAACAACAAATATAATACAACAAAATAACCAAGCCCCATTTTTAATATAGACACTTGACAGTTCCACTAGGTAGACGTATGTGTGTGAAAGTTCCTGCATGACCGGAACAAGTTTCTGGGTTTCTATTGTCTTGCCCCAGCCGCTTACATTCAGTGACAGGGGGACCTAATGGGCCTGGAATGTCACGAGTAGTTTGACTTGTCACCAGTGGTCCCTGCTGTTGTTTGTTTAATGGTGGTCGGGTGGCTAAAATGGATACTGAGCAGTGATCACTAAGGTGACATGGATGATATACTTGTGAAATCTATAATATACTGTGTGACATGGATGATATGCTGTGTTACATTGATGATATACATGTACTGTGTGACATGGAAGATATACTGTGTGACATGGCTGATATACTGTGTGACATGGATGATATACTGTGTGACATGGAAGATATACTGTGTGACATGGATGATACACTCTGTGACATAGATGATATACTGTATGACATGGAAGATATACTGTGTGACATGGAAGATATACTGTGTGACATGGATGATATACTGTGTGACATGGATGATATACTGTGGGACATGGATGATATACTGTGTGTTATGGATGATATACTGTGTGACATGGAAGATATACTGTGTGACATGGATGGTATACTGTGTGACATGGATGATATACTGTGTGACATGGAAGATATACTGTGTGACATGGAAGATATACTGTGTGACATGGATGATATACTCTGTGACATGGATGATATACTGTGTGACATGGAAGATATACTGTGTGACATGGAAGATATACTGTGTGACATGGATGATATACTCTGTGACATGGATGATATACTGTGTGACATGGAAGATATACTGTGTAACATGGGTAAGAAACTGAATGACATGAATGATATAATGTGTGACATTGATGTTACACCGTGTGACATGGATAATATCTTGTGGTACATTGATGATAAACATGTACTGTGTGACATTGAAGATATACTGTGTGACATGGATGATATATTCTGTGACATGGATGATATACTGTGTGACATGGATGATATACTCTGTGACATGGACGATATACTGTGTGATATGGATGATACACTGTGACATGGATGATATACTCTGTGACATGGAAGATATACTCTGTGAGAATGGATGATATACTGTGTGACATTGATGATACACTGTGTGACATGGGTGATATACTCTGTGACATGAAAGATATACTGTGTACTGTACTCATGTATTCACGTTCTCCAAATTTCTGAAATTCAAGGACTTCAATATTGTTATGATAAAATATGTTTGACAAATTTATTTTTGAATATAACTTTGTACTCATGACTCAATTGTATATATATAAACTTCTTCTCGTCGCTATAAAGCTGAAACAATGTCGATGCGACATTAAATTTGAACTTATACATTAGGTACTGCGTTTCATGGATGATAAACTGTTTCATATGGGTACATACTGAGTGATATGGATGATATACTGTGTGACGTGGGTGATATCATGTGTGACATGGGTGATATGTGTGTTATGAATGATATACTATTTGATCATATGTGTGCCGTGGATGATGTACTTGTGTCATGGATGATAAACTTGTGGCATGGATTATAAACAGTGTAACACGGATGATATACTTTTGAAATGTATTATGTATTTGTGACATGGATGATATGCTTGTGATATGCATGATTTACTTGTGAAATGTATTATATATTTGTGACATTGATGATATTCTTGTGACATGGATGATATGCCTGTGACATAGATAATATACTTGTGACATGGATGATATACTGTGTGACATGGATTATATACTTGTGACATGGATGATATACTTGTGGCATGGATGATATACTTGTGACATGGATGATATACAGTGAAACACGGATGATATACTTTTGAAATGGATTATGTATTTGTGACATGGATGATATGCTTGTGATATGCATGATATACTTGTGGCATGTATGATATACTTGTGAAATGTATTATATATTTGTGACATGGATGATATACTTGTGACATGGATGATATGCCTGTGGCATAGATGATATACTTGTGACGTGGATGATATACTGTGTGACATGGATGATATACTTGTGACATGGATGATATACTTGTGGCATGGATGATCTACTTGTGACATGGATGATATGCCTGTGACATAGATGATATACTTGTGGATAATTACTGTGTCACATTGACGATACAATGTGTGTCATGGATCATATACAGTGTAACACGAATGATATACTAATGAAATGGATTATGTATTTGTGACATGTATGATTTACTTGTGACATTGATGATTAATTGTGACATGGATGATATACCTGTGACATGTATGATATACTTGTGACATGGATGATAGACTTGTGACATGGATGTTATGCTTGTGACATTGATGATATAATTGTGACATGGATGATATACTTGTGACATGGATTATATACTTGTGACATGGATCATGTATTTGTGACATGTATGATTTACTTGTGACGTGGATGATGCGCCTGTGACAAGCATGATATACCTCTAATATTGGCTATTGGATATAGAGCTAATATGGATGAAACACATGAGTTATCGATAATATACTTGATGGATGGATGGTATACGTGTGACATGGATGATATACATCTAATATGGATGATACACATGTGTTATCGATAATATACTTGCTACATGGATGTATACGTGTGACATGGGTGATATGCATCTAATATGGATGATACACATGTGTTATCGATAATATACTTGCTACATGGATGGTATACGTGTGACATTGGTGATATACATCTAATATGGATTATACACATGTGTTATCGATAATATACTTGCTACATGGATGTATACGTGTGACATGGGTGATATACATCTAATATGGATGATACACATGTGTTATCGATAATATACTTGCTACATGGATGGTTTACGTGTGACATGGGTGATATACATCTAATATGGATGATACACATGTGTTATCGATAATATACTTGCTACATGGATGTATACGTGTGGTATGGATGATACAGTGTGTGGCGTATACAACCTTCATCCACATAGTTGACAACACCTCTTCCTAACATAATGAAATATCGGTAACGATTCAACAACAGTCTGTCTGAACCCTGACACTCATGAAGTGGTTTGCGGAAACAAACACGGTTATTTCACGATCCAACACCGATGTACAAAGAAGCCATGAAGGAGGATGAGTTACATTTCATGAATATTTCCGAGTTGTCCTCATGTCCTGTTACCGCCATCCGCACTATGTCAAAGTCATTAATAAACCTATTGACGTCTTTTCATCAAATAAACACATTTCCTGAAGCGTATATACTAGTATTTAAACAAGGAAATGATAAGAAGTCAGCTATAATGACAAAATATTTATTTCTCATTTCCGCCCGGGGCTTTCCGCAAACTATGCAGCAAGGGCAGTCAACTCACACCATGTTACAGATACACATGATAATTCCTCGTAAAAGGAGACCTGGTTCGGGTAATTGGCAGTCACAGCTTATTTACTTTGTCAAATACGCTCAAGCATCACTTTGTTTGCCTGTTAAGTCAAATTGTGTGATGTTTTTCTCCCAGTTTCACACAGACTAATAAACGACAAGCTGTGAAGCATAGTCCCTTAAACTTACCTTCAATGTACAGCACAAGAGCTTAGAACGTTTACTTCCATTCTTAAAACGAATCACGAGCTATTTAGTTTTTCACATTCCTGAATAAAGCATAACCATCTATTTCAGCAGTCGTCCATCAAATATCACTGCCGAATGATACACTACACCACTTACTTCGTTTAACGAATTACATGTACAAATTCATTTTAATAGTCCGTGATTGGTCATTCAGCGATTCAAACGCGAAATATCGGAAAACGAATAACGTTATAACATTTGGTTGATTCAATTTCCCAGCGTCCCTCAACATAAACACACATCGTCTTATCAATTAATCTCGACGATAAGCGTATCTTCCTATCATTGAATTGTTAAGTATGTCCAACATTGGTAACTGTACCTTTAAAACATTTCTAATACCTTTTTTTTTGCAATTTCCTCAAGCATCATAAACAAGCCCCATAACCTATATGACAACCCGATTCGACGATACTTGAGAAGATGGATGCATTTTTTTAAAAATGTAATTGCATCTTCAACAAACAGGTCATAACTTTTTCAAATGTACATTTTTAACTTTTCAGCTCACCTGCCAGAGTGTCATGTCAGCTGTGTCATGCATGACCTGCTTCTCTGTCCTCGGCGGCGACTGGGGCGTCCAGGAGCATCATCGACTCGGACACCACTGGACCAATGAGGCTGAACATGCGTGTTCCCCCTTATGATGACACATGGTTTATTCAAGAGGTTCGACTCCGATTTATATTTTTTCCAACTCCTCTTCTGAAAGGGTTGGTGTTTAAGCCGAAACTATTTAAATTCAAGTGACGCCAACAACCTTTGTTAAGTGGCTGACTTTGTTACATTTAAAACTGGTGCCTACATGCCCAGATGAGCTACAGTGCTGCTGCCCTAGTTTCTACAGGGGCTGTATATATTGACATGAAATATTGACTGTTTACAACATAGTGTAGTAATGTCGCAGTGACATGCCCTTGTCGACGAAGCAGTGCCACCCCCGAATTTCGCCATGCTGACAAGCACCGATAGTAATCCTCCTTCCACAACGAACTTCGCCATGCTGACAAGCACCGATAGTAATCCTCCTCACACACCGAACTTCGCCATGCTGACAAGCACCGATAGTGATCCTCCTTGCACAGCTGATTTCGCAATGCTGACAAGCACCGATAGTGACCCTCCTTACGCAGCAAATTTCGCCATGCGGACTAGCACAGATAGGAATCCTCCTTGCACAGCGAATTTCGCCATGCAGACCGGCACCGATAGTGATCCTCCTTCCACAGCGAATTTCGCCATGCTGACTCGTACTGATAGTGATCCTCCTTACGCACCGAATTATGCAATGCTGACAAGCACCAATAGTAATCCTCCTCACACACCGAATTTCGCCATGCTGACAAGCACCGATCGTGATCCTCCTTGCACAGCGAATTTCGCCATGCTGACAAGCACCGATAGTGATCCTCCTTACGCAGCGAATTTCGCCATGCGGACTAGCACAGATAGTGATCCTCCTTACACAGCGAATTTCGCCATGCTGACAAGCACCGATAGTGATCCTCCTTACACAGCGAATTTCGCCATGCTGACAAGCACCGATAGTGATCCTCCTCACACACCGAATTTCGCCATACGGACTAGTACCGATAGTGATCCTCCTCACACACCGAATTTCGCCATGCTGACAAGCACCGATACTGATACTCCTTGCACAGCGAATTTCGCTATGCTGACAAGCACCGATAGTGATCCTCCTTACGCAGGGAATTTTGCCATGCGGACTAGCACAGACAGTGATCCTCCTTACACAGCGAATTTCGCCATGCGGACTAGTCCCGATAGTGATCCTCCTCACACAGCGAATTTCGCCAGCAGACCGGCACCGATAGTTATCCTTTTTGCACAGTGAATTTTGCCATGTGGACTAGCACCGACAGTCATCCTCCTTCCACAGCGAATTTCGCCATGCGGACTAGTCCCGATAGTGATCCTCCTCACACAGCGAATTTCGCCAGCAGACCGGCACCGATAGTTATCCTTTTTGCACAGTGAATTTTGCCATTTGGACTAGCCCCGATAGTGATCCTCCTTACGCAGGGAATTTTGCCATGCTGACAAGCACCGATAATAATCCTCCTTACACAGCGAATTTCGCCATGCTGACAAGCACCGATACTGATACTCCTTCCACAGCGAATTTCGCCATGCTGACAAGCACCGATAGTGATCCTCCTTACACAGAGAATTTCGCCATGCTGACAAGCACCGATAGTAATCCTCCTCACACAGCGTATTTCGCCATGCTTACTCGTACCAATAGTGATCCTCCTCACACAGCGAATTTCGCCAGCAGACCGGCACCGATAGTAATCCTCCTTGCACAACGAATTTCGCCATGCAGACTAGCACTGATAGTGATCCTCCTTACACAGCGAATTTCGCCAGCAGACCGGCACCGATAGTGATCCTCCTTGCACAGCGAATTTCGCCATGCTGACAAGCACCGATAGTAATCCTAATCATACAGCAAATTTCACAATGCGAACTAGTCCCGATAGTGATCCTCCTCACACAGCGAATTTCGCCAGCAGACCGGCACCGATAGTAATCCTCCTTCCAGAGCGAATTTCGCCATGAGTACTAGCCCCGATAGTGATCCTCCTTACGCAGCGAATTTCCCTATGCTGACTAGTACCGATAGTGATTGTCCTCACACAGCGAATTTCGCCATGCAGACTGGCACCGATAGTAATCCTCCTCACACACCGAATTTCGCCATGCTGACAAGCACCGATAGTGATCCTCCTTATGCAGCGAATTTCTCCATGTAGACTGGATAATCATCATCCTTGCACAGTGAATTTAGCCATGCTGACTAGCACCGATAGTGATTGTCCTTACACAGCGAATTTCGCCATGCAGACAAGCACTGATAGTAATCCTCCTCACACAGCGAATTTCGCCATGCAGACCGGCACCGATAGTAATCCTCCTCACACACCGAATTTCGCCATGCTGACAAGCACCGATAGTGATCCTCCTTGCACAGCGAATTTCGCCATGCTGACAAGCACCGATAGTAATCCTCCTCATACAGCGTATTTCACCCTGCAGACTGGCACCGAGAGTAATCCTCCTCACACACCGAATTTCGCCATGCTGACAAGCACCGATAGTGATCCTCCTTATGCAGCGAATTTCTCCATGTAGACTGGATAATCATCATCCTTGCACAGTGAATTTAGCCATGCTGACTAGCACCGATAGTGATTGTCCTTACACAGCGAATTTCGCCATGCAGACAAGCACTGATAGTAATCCTCCTCACACAGCGAATTTCGCCATGCAGACCGGCACCGATAGTAATCCTCCTCTCACACCGAATTTCGCCATGCTGACAAGCACCGATAGTGATCCTCCTTGCACAGCGAATTTCGCCATGCTGACAAGCACCGATAGTAATCCTCCTCATACAGCGTATTTCACCCTGCAGACTGGCACCGAGAGTAATCCTTCTTGCACAGCAAATTTCGGCATGCGTACTAGCACCGATAGTGATCCTCTTTCCACAGCGAATTTCGCCATGTAGACTGGATAGTAATCCTCCTTGCACAGCAAATTTCGCCATGCAGACAGGTACCCATAGTGAGCCTCCTTCCACAGCGAATTTCGCCATGCAGACAGCCACCGATAGTGATCCTCCTTACACAGCTAGTTTCGCCATGTGGACCGGCACCGATATTAAATCCTCCTCACACACCGAATTTCGCCATGCTGACAAGCACCAATAGTGATCCTCCTTACGCAGCGAATTTTGCCATGCAGACTAGCACAGATAGTGATCCTCTTTCCACAGCGAATTTCTCCATGTAGACTGGATAATCATCATCCTTGCACAGTGAATTTCGCCATGCTGACTAGCACCGAGAGTAATCCTCATAACGCGGTGAATTTCGCCATGCTGAATAGCACCGATAGTGATCCTCCTTCCACAGCGAATTTCGCCATGCTGACAAGCACCGATAGTGATCCTCCTCACACACCGAATTTCGCCATGCTGACAAGCACCGATAGTGATCCTCCTTCCACAGCGAATTTCGCCAGGCGGACTGGCACCGATAGTGATCCTCCTTCCACAGCGAATTTCGCCATGCGGACTAGTCCCGATAGTGATCCTCCTTCCACAGCGAATTTCGCTATGTAGACAAGCACCAGTAGTTATCCTCCTTCCACAGCGAATTTCGCCATGTAGACTGGATAGTAATCCTCCTTGCACAGCGAATTTCGCCATGCAGACAGGCACCGATAGTAATCCTCCGTCTGTCGAATCATGTTCGTCAGTTTAACCAGTGTGCTGGACGTGTCTACCATTGACGTCGAATTGCGGTTTGTTCTCACAAACGCCGTTATATCACTGGAATACTTTCCTTCAAATAGCCAATTCCCTTCCACTGATTTACCCACGAGAACTAGAAATAAAGGAGACCAGTGAGACCGCCTCATCTGTTTCATATTTAGATGTACCAGTTCGACTTGTACCATAGACATATTCCCGTTTCGGCAAGTGATCAATTGACTTGCCCTTGCATGTGTTTGCAACGGTTGTCACCGTTGGGGAAGGATACGCTCACCTTTTCGCGAAAACCTGTTATTATCACTATTTGATTGTGATTCATTAACACATGATCATGGCAATCGGAATCATACAATCGACTTGCCATCTCCATACTTTCCCGGGTTGTTCGGTCCGACTCCAAAATATCATAATGTGCAGAAAATATTGAGTTTTAATTGTAGCGAAAATTGCGTGCAAAATTTTACTTATAGGCATGATGTCATTACTTTCCTCATTGTGTATGAGTAATTTAACACCTGACTGTTTATAATGTTTGTTTTCTTAGCAAGTGCGTCAACGCTTTGATAAGATCGATGAATCATTAACCAGTGAATATAAGACACGTCCACGGCTTTCTGGATTATGTTCTCCAGGTGAGATCAATAGATATCTGTTTTGGGTTCAGTGAACTTTAAATCATTATTTTACATGAACGGAGGCAAGTTCGGTCGGTCAGTTTGGCGCTATTTACGAGCCCACATTGTAAAGCAATAAAAACATGGCTTCCCTTACACGAAGTTGGATCATTTATCCAGTCAGTATAAATTTAAACTTTGAACAAGAATTAACGTGTTATGTATTCAGGTCAGGAGAACTGTGTCCTTGGGCTTCCACGATTGTATTGCTATTAAATAAGCAGCGCATTGATCCTTGGACGGCCTAGCCTCTATAACGGAAGAGTTTTTGTTATGTTCCCTAAGCGGCCTATTTCTGATGTAACCCGACCCCGCTCAGAGGGAACAACACTGTTCGGGCTATCCATGTGTCACTGTACATTGGAAAAGGAACGTACGAATTGGAAAACTAGTTTGTTTCAATAAATCAACATTACATAACACTTTTTCCATGTTGGTCTGTTTATGAATACTGTTTTAATCTTGTTTCTAATAAAGGGTTTAGAGCGTGAGCCACAGTAAAGTACTGACTCTTTTATTCCCAGGAATAATAAAGATGTATTTTTAAACATAATTTGCATATTATATGATTTTGTTATCATTTAATATAGCAGGTAAAAGATTCAAGTCACGAGCAAACTGCTTCACAAAATAATACAATGTGCGTTCATTTCAATTGTGTCCTACAATTTGTTTAATTATTTTATAATTTTATACAGAAATGCTTCTTATTGCACGGCGCCGGGCACCGTCCCTTATTCTTGTTATGGGTTGAAAAAATTACATGGGGCCGGGGCCATGGGAATGGGTAATCGTTGGAAAGATGTAACCAAACTATTAAAAGAAACATTGTCTTTGTCTCACATGTGTATAAGGATATGCATACATGTGAAACATATGAATAATTATGAAATATGTTTAAGACATTCCTAACTGTAAATTGGTACGCTAAACATGTTTATGTTATTCGGCAACAATCATTAAAACAGGGAGCCACGTTCTGTCCTAGACCGGTTTACCTGCCTTAGAGCGCTGGAGGCGAAGGGCAGGATACCAGTCTAGCTCTATCTGACCTGTTTCCCCATATACATACAGCATTTCGCTGCGGTGAAACGTTGACTCATTTCCGTGAAGCGGGTCTGTCTGTCGGGGGGACGGAGACAGGCCTGCAGAATATCGCTATGCGGGAAACTTTGACAAAGTTTCCGTGAAGCTAGATATTAACACTTTTGTACAGTGTGAATAATTGGCGTGTCAAGAGTATACATATTTCCATTAGGGAGGTAACTTTCACAGGGAAGTATAATTATGGTTAAACAATAACAAATGCACTCACAACGTTGTGGCTTTCAATTTTAACAATATCTGCATCTATTCAATCTATGATTGTGAGTTCGAATCCCGGTTCGCCCTGATTATCTCTGTAGGTTTGTCAGCACAAAACCCGCGCTAATGGGTTTCACCAAAGTTGTAAACGTCTGAGATCTGCATCACTTCGGGCTCTCCTCCCACATTAACCTGACACGCCACAATATAATTGGAATACAGTTCACAGCTTAACCCAACTCACTCACTTATGCCGTCGTTTATTCGGGGAGGTGGAATAGCCTCGCGGTTAAGTTTTCGATCGTCACATTAGGTACCCGGGTTTTGATTCCACATGGGATTCCACAAGGTAGAGAGGTCAATCTTGATGTCCCTTGTTGCGATAAAGCATGAGTTTGCTAAAATTCTTGTTTAGTCTCGCCAGTCTTGATTGTATGCAACGTGAGGAGTCCAGGGAAGAAGTGGTCCCCAGTATCCTACACTTTTCGTACGAGAAGGTTGGTTGGTTGGTTTGTTGTTTAACGCCGCACTAAGCAATATTCCAACTACATGACGGCGGATTAATATCATGAG